GACATACTCTGGAAGATATTACAAGAATATGGAATACGTGGTCACCTATTATCATCAATTCAAGCCTTATACAACAACTGTAGAAGCTCTGTTCGAATAAATGGTAACAAATCAGAACATTTTCAGGTGAAAGTTGGACTTCGACAAGGATGCGTATTATCCCCGTTATTGTTTACGATATTTATGGACAAGGTGTCTCGAACAAGTATCAACCCAGCCTGTATCAACATTGGTGATGTAAAAGTGGACTCCCTTCTCTTCGCCGACGACGTTGCTCGGTTTGCACAATCAACAGCAGACCTACAAAGTGCTCTCAATAGATTCCAAGAAGCATGCACAACCTATGGCATGAAGATAAACGTGAAGAAAAGAGAAGTAATGGTAACTTCAAGAGAACCCGAACAATGCAACCTACATTTAAACAGCGAACAGATCAACCAGGTAAAATACTTTAAATATTTAGGTGTTCAATTTTCAGACGATGGAAAACAAGCTGGAGAAATAGATCGACAAATTGGTACAGCAAGTAGAATCCTACGTTCATTAAACCGGACAGTTATAACAAAAGCAGAATTAAGCAAAAAAGACAAAATTGGCAATCTTCAAATCGTTGTATCGACCAACACTTACATATGGACATGAACAATGAATATTAACAGAGAAAACACGATCTCGAATATAATCAGCAGAAATGCGATTCTTACGTAGAATAGCTGGCTTGTCACTTCGAGATAAAATTAAAAGTTCAACCATACGCAAATCTCTACAAATTGAACCACTACTTCTTCACATGGAACTTTCACAACTACGATGGCTAGGACATGTTCTAAGAATGCCACCAAATCGATTACCTCTCCAAATATTCCAAGCAGTACCAACAGGAAGAAGACCAATCGGAAGACCAAGAACAAGTTGGCGCAAATACATAGAAAAACTCATCCAGGAGCGTACGAACCTCCAATGGGTCGATGTTCAACAAGTGGTGAAAGATCGTAACCGATGGAAACAACTACTGAACGGGCTTAAACCCCGACCCGAACGGATAAGGGGAAGAAAATGAATGAATGAAAAAATGAATGTTAAAGAAATACGTTATCTATAAAATTGTCAAGGTAACTTCGTCTAATTCGAAAATAAAACTTGATAAGACCCTATGAAATCAATATGAGTCTTAGATGATAAACGTTTCTTCAGAATAATGTTTTATTAAGTGTAGTTAAATAAAATTTTCTTAATAAGAATGATTTCATATTTCATAGTTCAGAGTGAAGTAATTAGATCGTTGGTGTTATCTGTAGACTTCATTCATGAAATGGTTCAAATCTGACAAGAGAAACAGATGACCATCATGTGATGGTTAACCGCAATAGTTTTATTTCAATGGAGACTCTATGAATATTTTCTTTCATTGATCACTGATGTTCATTAAAAAACAAGAATAATATTTTTTTTTTGTTATTGTTCTTAGGTGAACTTGGTATCAAATAGGCCTTGAGTTCATAGGTCAACGAGAAATTTATTTTATCTTGTTTTATACTCCTATGGCTGCAAATCTTCTACAAGAGAAAGAATATATGCTATAAATGTAACAGGAAGTATGAATAGATATCTTATCTCTATTAGGTTTATGTTTCTCTTTATAGCTTTTAATATTTCAGTTACATTAAGGACCTAGATGAACAGTAAAATGGCATTCTATGTCTGTCATATTGATATTTATTTCTTTGTTTGTAGAAATGTTGTTTGTCTTCAAACACATAATCGTGTAAAACTGTAACTATCTCAATTATTAAAAACGCATGCACAATTTCAAACAATTTTTCGATGAAAATAATATAAATCAACCATCAGTACAATCAGATGTGAGTTAAAAGAAAATAATTTCTTCAAATAAGATTCTTAATTATTTATTAAAATTAGAATAAATATGATCTTAATTCAATGTTAACTCGTCTCGATCGTTTATCACATGAACAAAATCATCAATTAAATGATTTTATTCCAAGTAATTATTTTCTTTTCTGATTCAAAATATAATTTATTTGATTTTGTTTTTGTTTTTGTTTAGCAAAAGAAAGTTCATTAGCTCTTTCAAATAACTTTGAATCAAGTTTAAATCAAAGTGGAATATCATCTTCTTCACCAGATAAACGAAAAATAATTCGATTTGAAGAAGAAAATGATTAAACAAAGAAGAATTTTATTCTTCATTAAGTGAACTATTTATATTTCAATACAGATATGTTTTTTTTGTTTTAATTTTCGATTCTATCGTCCAGTGTTATGGACATCTTAGATAGACTATTTTTATAATACATATTAACACTAGTTTATTATAATTGTGTTTATTCGATCAATTGGTTTTATTTGATTGGGCTTGTTTTTTCTTCTTTGTAAACATTTTCATCAACTTAATATCGATAATAAATAATTTTTTTCCATTTGAAACAAAATCTAATATTATATTTAAATTATTGTTTATATATGTATTTGCAAATTTTTTCTACAAGATCTCGAAGAAGTCATATAAATCGTTTTGAAATGTAATAAAAATAAATCCTAAATAAGAAGTCGATGACTTTCAATACGTAGGTGATATCATTGTTTGCTTTTATCAACACTGAATCTTTAATGAATCCTCTTAAGTAAAAGAAGTTCTATAAGAACCATTGTACAACTTCTTGTAGTGAATAGTGTGCTTATAAATTGAATTGTTAATGAAACTTGTTAAAGGAGCTATAAAGCTGAATAAGCATCAGTTATATGAAAATAATGACATCAACGACTGAAATACCAGAAAAAATTTAATTGATTCTTGCTTTAATGGATAGCAACGCTAGAGAGACATTTCAACCCAGTTTCGTATATAGAGGCAGGGCAGGAATGGTAGTGCTCTCCCGAAAGCATTGAAATACTTCAAAGAGAACAAGATTAGTATGAGGTTTCAAAAGCTAGTTTTGGATAGATATTCAGAGGAAGTGTTCAGGAAAACAATTCTGTCAAAAATGAATAAAACAATGTAGTATACTAGAAAAAGGTCCAAAGAAAAACGTCGAAAAATATATATTAAAATGAAAAACTATCGAAAAAAAGTAATATCTTCAGTAAATGGTAACATCAAGTGTCCGCAGTTCATTGTTATCTTAGCAATGTTCCATTGAAATTAGAATGAATGTCCTTTGGTAATTGATAATTGCCGCTGGATATTTATTCTCGTTTTTGGATTTTAAAACAAATTAATGCAACTATCGATAGATTATCTTTATTATAAATATTTAAATTATTTTATTATGTTTCCGTTTACAAGCTTAAATTGCAATGTTTGATCGGATTTGTTTTTCGTTCTCTCCAGTATATTTGTAGTCATTTTCTATGAAATTTCAAAGAAGTAATTGGTAATTTATATAAAAAATTTTCAAAAATGTGTTAAAAAGACACTCTTGGAAAGATATAATCTGTTTTTGAAATTCAGTTAGAATTAGTTGTTTTGATCTACATTCGATCTTGAACAAGTCGTTTAAAGAAAAAAGTTCTATTAAAATAATAGTGAAACATTCCATAGTCGATAGTGTTTTTACGATGTTCGTTATTATTATAATTTTTATGATAACCTGTGAATCTTATCAGATATTCCATGCTTTCGAGAATGTGATCATAGTGAAATGGATTCAGTTGACTGTTTTAAAATAAATTCCTTTGAACTATGAACTCGTTTGAGAACAATCTAATTTGATCATGAAATAAAATATATCCGTTAGGAACTTAGGATTTCTATGATGCCGAGCGATTTGACGGAGATCCAGAATCGATCATGATAATAAAATGTATTTTGAAGCTTATTAGGGATAGCATCGGCTCATTTGTAAGCCTTTTCTGATAAGAAAAACCGAAAAAAATGTTTTCGAGGGGTGAAATTGTTCGCAGAGCCTTTCCTATAAATTCGCCACTACCATATATTATAAGGGAAAGTAATAAGTGAATTTTTTCGGGTGTACATAATATGGCGACATCTTGTATGATTATTCTCGTTTGCTGATCAAAAAAAGGATTGTCATCATCATAATATTGAAGTTAGTTAACTAACTAAACTATAAAGATTGATACTAATAATAAACGAAGTGAGAATCATGTCCGGTGAATTATTATTTGAACTGATTGAAAAAGCTCAATGGTCTTTCGAAAGAAAAATTCGTTCATCTGAAAATGATAAATCATGGTCATTGACTAATAGTAAGTTTAGCTTAGTTCAATAATAAATTTTTTTTAACTGGTAAAAGTTTTTAGCTTTTAAAAAATGGTTTGGGTATGTTTACGAAAAAAAAACCGAATATTAAATTTATAAATTAATTTAGTTCATCCATAAAAATTTCTCCAAATGCTGAAAGATTTCTTAAACACACTGAAAACCAAATTTCTACAAATGAATCTTCATTACGATTTAACTAAAAAATAAATTAAAAATAAAATTTTTTTTTTTCATTTATTTAACTAATTCAATACTGATTTCGTTGGTAATTCATGTAATAATTGTCCATCAATTGATGAAT